ACTTTTTCTCAATGCTTCCAATATTATTAATTATTAATCTGCCTGACAGCAACAGGTTAAGCAACCTTTAACTTGATTTAACTGAGCATTTTTAAAAAATAAACTTTTCAGCTTTGAGACACTGAATTCAACCATGTCCAGAACCTATCCTTGAGGAAGCCTTCTCCAAAAAATCTACAATATGACCAAGAGAAATTGGTCATATTGTAGATTTTGGACATCTGTAAAGCTTCTTTCCTAAAAAATAAATAAATAAATAAAGGAAGGAAGGAAGAAATGAGGAAATTACAGATATTCATTGCCTTTCCCATGGTTAAAAAAAGAAAATAAATTCTTCAGGTTTAAAAAATAAACATATAATTTCAAGGGCCTGAACCTCAGTGACCTCCATTCTTAAGATAAATAAATGATGCAGCATTACATAACGGAAACTGTGAGTTAAGCTGAGAAAGTTGGAGAGAATAAGAGAAAAAGCAGAACTTTCATCCCTTCAGCTGTTCCCCAGGAAAGAGCTGACATGTCAGAGTTTTATCTAACAGTGGATATTCTCCACTGGAATGTTAGCACTTTAATGGAATTCTGTAGAGTTCAAACCATTTCCCCTTGATGTCATCAAGTACAGAGTGAAAAAATGATGAAAACCTTCTTAGAAAAATAAGAATATTCTTCTATCTGGTTATAAAAGGAGGTCAGGACAGTAGAGAAATGATGAGATGATGAGATGCAATTTAAGCATAATAACTATACATAAAATAACTTGAAAATTACAAAAGAGTCACAATGAGTTTTGAATTTTAGGATATCTGAACACTGGTACAAAAAAAATCATACAAAATAACACATTTAGTTCTGCCAACTAAATAACCTGCCTTATATTTCCAATAACCACCATCCCTATCAAGGTTTTCTCTTCTGCCTTGGATCTTCAGTTTTCAAACTTTTCTTTTCATGATCTTCCTCTTTGAGAAGGAAGAAAGACTTCTACATTTTTAAATGATTCCATTCTTTTTCTATCTTAGCTTTATGCCAAAGGAAACATACTAGAGAAAGTTCTTTGTTCTGTATCTACTCCTTCCCAACTAATGATTGGGGCAGGAGCTAATAGCATATGTAGAATACAGAACACAGAATAACAGGGTTGGGAGGGATAGAAATTTGATTTCTAGTCCAATTTCCTGCCTGTGCAAGATCCTATACCATTCTGGACTTTCTTTGGGCTTGATGGGATGGATACACATGATCATAGAAAGATAACAGAATAACAGAACAGAATAATAGAGTTGGAAGGGGTGCCAGAGGTCCTCCAGTTCAACCCTCCACCATAACAGGAAACCCTACAGTATACCATTTCAGACAAGTGGTTGTCCAATCTCTTCTTAAAAACCTCCAGTGTTGGAGCACTCACAACTTCTACAGGCAAGCCATTAATTGTTCTCACTGTCAGGAAATTTCTCCTTAGTTCTAGGTTGCTACTCTCCTTGATTGGTTTCCATCCATTGCTTCTTGTCCTGCCTTCAGGTGCTTTGGAGAATAGGCTGATCCTGTCTTCTTTGTGGCAGCTCTTCAAATATTGTAACACTGCTATCATGTCGTCCCTAGTCCTTCTTTTCACTGTGTCTTCTTACTTCCATGAAATGGTAATGTAGTGTTCACATAGCAAGTATTCTATTTATAGTGTGACGCAAGTCCACCTTAGAAGTCTTTTTCATAACATGATCACTATTAGCAGCATCAGTGTCCTATTCGAAAGCATGGACCAAGACACCTCTGAAAAGGATGAGACATCATGACATATGTTTCAACTGGAACAAAGTGACCTCCCTCCAAAAAATTGAAGGGCCATTATGGTGAAAAAATGATTGTACTCCTAAGTACACTAAATGGCCAGTCAAATGGAAGTATATAGTAACACAATTTGTTTACCTACCTGCTTTTTTACCTAAACTAAGCAATGGTTCTCTTGGTTCTAAAGATTTATTTGGAGGCATGTACGTACATCCAAACAGATTTTCCAATTTTAATAACTATTCAGTGTCTTTGACAAGTATTTGTGCAAACAGCAGAAAGAGACATTAAGTAGCACTCCTGCAAGCCAGAGGAGATACCAAAATAAAATAATTGATGAGGTGACCTTAAAAAAAGCAAGCCTGCTTATACAGTTAGGAAATACTCCGCAAGTCTAGAAGAAAGATAAAGAGGAGGACAGGCTGATTTCCTTTTTTTCAAAAGCCACAGATGAACATCTTTATAAGTTTCCAGATGAGAAGAACACTGAAAACATTTTTTTCTAAATCAATGAATGTTGTGAAAGTTCAAAGACTCTTAAAAATTAAAAAATCTCTATCCCCCACCACATCACAAGCTTGCAATTATACAGTTTGCACGGTGAATAACAATGGATATTGGAAAGCATAAACCTGACTGCGACAGATTATCATAGAATAGTAGCAGTCTTTTATATAGTCTTGAAATACACTTGTACAAAAGATTGATTCCCTGATAAATAAACTGAGAACAGAGAGTTAGAATACACTGCCAAAATCAAATAGAGTTACTGCTTAGGTATGTTTTAAGGTAACAAAGTTAAAGGCAAAATAATAAAGACATTATTCTAATGCATTGGATATACTGTACACATTTTGTGTGATACTATGCAAGTATAATGGGACACATGGCTCCTCTCACTCAGGGCATACAATCTGAAACAAAAAATTAAAAATCTCCAGCCACCCCTATTTCCCCACACCCATGCTGGGAGAACAGATGATGTGACCTTCCCTTGGTGCATTTTGTCTTTAAATGAGACCAGATGACAATTCGGTGAAGGTTTTCTTTTGAAAGTCTCCCTGGGAAAGGTATTTTAAAAAGAGATGCTGAAGAGAGTGAATACTCTGGGTTTTAAGTTACTCCTCATAGAAACAGTAGTATAGCTGTTTGCTAATACCTCAAGAATGGGATCAACAATGTTCCTGACCATTCTTCAAATCTCAGCAATATCACCAATCTTTGCAAGGCAGAGAAAGGCAACATTGTGCTGATATTTCAGTCTGAAGACTCATAAGTAATGGAAGGTCATCAGAGAGCCAAAGTTATTAAACTCACTAATCTGTCTCACAGAGGTGTTGGGCAAGGCAAGGTGCAATCTTGGGACATTCCTCTTCAGTACACTAATTTGTTTTCTTTCTTCAGAAAAAGGAAGAAAATATACTGGGGAAAAAGACAATTTTATTATATTGCCCAGTGTCTAGCTTGTTAGGACTAATGTTCTGATGAGATGTGGTCCAATGAAAGCAGTCAGACTGTGGTCTGCTCAAAATTAAGGCCAGCTGACAGAGTCAACAGCTTTCAATGGATCAGATATTTTCTGGATCTCCTGTTTCATATTGAAACTAATGAGAGTGAGCAAGCTTACATATTTCCCATGGGAAAGGTAAAAGTCCTTTCTTATTAAGAATAAATCAGGGCAGAAAGATGGAGTGTCATAACTTGAAATGAGATATTATTCACACATTACTTTTTACATTAAAGTTCAAGGGCTTGACTGCAAGACTTCCTAACGTTTGGATTCAAGATACCAGGATTCTTAGCTGTGTGAATTCAATATTAATGGGGGGAGAGGGGAGTAACTGTTATGTATAAATATGAAATAGTGGAGAATATCTGTAGCTCGGGTGTAGGATGAGGGTGAAGGTTCGTTTTTCGAGCTCGTGGATAGGTTTCCAAACATTTCATTACCAGGCTAGGTAACATCTTCAGTGGAGTTTAGGGGATGTCAGTAACAGTGTTCTTCTGTTTATAAGGGCTTTGGCTGGTCACTAGATCTTGTGATGGGACCCATCACAAGACTTACTGACCACACAAAGCCCTTATAAACAGAACACTGACACTGACATCCCCTAAACTCCACTGAAGATGTTACCTAGCCTGGTAACGAAATGTTCAGAAACCAACCCACAAGTTCAGGGAAACGAACCTTCATCCTCATGTATAAATATGTTTAAGTATTAACTATATTACACTTGCAATATAACTTCTTCAAGCAGAAGTATCTGACCAGAAGAAGATGGTATATGCTTCACCAGCTTTCAAATACTCTCATCATGAGTGTATCTTGTAGTTCAAAATCAACACAGAACAACTTAAAAATCATGACAATCACGGCTCTGGGTACCAGAAAGCTATTTTATTCCAATCACCTACTTCCAAAGTATCCTTTCATCACAGGACTGTCAGGCTTCACCCCACAGGCAACAATGAACTACTTAGGCAAGCTCACAAGAATTCCTAGAACTATAGATAAGTAATCGTTACTGAAAAAACGGGGACCTATAGCCAAGAATTTCAGCTATTTCTCTGATTCAAGTAACAAGATCCTTATATAGAAACAAATGTTCAAATCTTCTTTTGTTTCCCTTTCCTTCCCACCTCATATAGGAGACTATATTTTAGGTGAGTTGGACTGTCTGCATCTGTGCTTGGTTTGTCACATTTCTGTCGTGTTTTTTTTTTTTCGACTGACTATGTGAGAACTACTTCACAGGAGAATAAATTCCAAAAATCTAAAAAAACATCGCACTGGTAAATGTGCTTGGCTAGGAGTGAAGCAGCACTCTTGCTTTGCTAAAGTAAAAGAGGTGAAAACAGAGATGAGACCTTATACCCATGAGCTGTTTCAGAAATGTCCAGGAACTGCAGGAATATTACAACTGAGGTCATCTGTTGGGGCATTGTGAACATTTTGTAATAAATATCCGAACTAAATCTGCCCTTAAGATCATTTAAGAAATAAGTGGTGGATTGATTTTCCCAGCATCCTAAGTCCCTCCAAGTATACAGGGCGGGAAGGTAATCACATGTAGCTGAATATGCCCCAGTATAAACAATTGCATTAAGTACACAAAACTGAAAAAAAAATCAAAGAAAAAAACACACCATCACACAGTTCAATCCATACTTTAGATGCAATATTTATCGCATAATTAGAATCCAGTAAATATTACCTTCTTTTTGCTGCAATAAATCTGCCATTTCTTCTCTGGTGGGAGTGCAAACATCGCCTCTCTATTCTTATCTGTGAGATCCAATTCATCCTGGAAATGGCAAGTGAAAAATAATGTGTGAACAACAGCATTGTTGTATTTTTTTCAGCACTTTTTTCTGATCATTATCACCTCAGTTAAGTACCTAGAGGTTTGTAATTTTCTCAAATAATTGATATTGTAAAAATATCCTTTATATTCCAGTGCACTAAATAATATGTCCATTGTCGTCTTTTCATACATAGAACATGGGAAATCAATTTCCTTTCATCTAAAGAAAAAACAATTGTCGCAGGGTTCTATTAGCAGCCATACCAGAAAGCTCTTAAATAACCTTGTTAATTAGATCTTGGCACAGTTCATTTTTGTAAAGAGGAACGCAAGTTTTGAATAAAAGCCTCTGTGTGAATGTTCCCCCACATGCTTTTAACATTTCAAACATGCATTTGGCCCCAAAAGTTTGCCTTTCACAATCTATATTCAATATATAGAACCTGCAATGGCAGTTTCAGAGTTGATGAGGCTCTAGGACCGTGATGGCGAACCTATGGCACGCGTGCCACAGGTGGCATGCAGAGCCTTCTCTGTGGGCATGTGCGCCGTCACCCCAGTCCTAGGCCTTCAGCTGGGTTTTATAAAACCTTTTCGCTTTAGGCCTCCGCTGCCATGTGTGGAAAAAAAAAGTTCAATCAATCAATCAATTTCAACTTCTCATGAGAAGAAAAAAGATCTCGCAAAGTTGGAATTGATTGATTGAACTTTTTAGTCCCACCCAGTCTGCTGTTACCACCACAGCCACGCCCACCCAATGGGCCACACCCACCCAATGGGCCACGCCCACCCAGCACCCAATTATACATAAGTGGGTTTTGGGTTGCAGTTTGGGCACTCAGTCTCTAAAAGGTTTGCCATCACTGCTCTAGGATCTAGATCCCTTTGTGTTTGGTTTGCAAACAAGCAGAAAAAATACAAATTTAATAACTACACAGAGCTACCTCTCTCTACTGTAGAAGCAGCTTTAACTAGTATTTCCAATAGAAGAGAATATATGTTGCTCTGGGCTGAGTCGTGGAATCCTTGGTGCTCTCTGGGCTTGTTTGCTTGCAAATGTTTCATTACCCAACTACAGTAGGTGACACCATCCAAGAGACTGAAGGTAAAATTTGGTCACTGTTTATATACACAATAGTAGCTTGCTTGCAAGTGTTGGTGGGGGTGTAATTTCTTCTTTGGTAGTTTCTTGACTGAGATATTATTTTCTGCTCATTTGCCTGGTATAAATCCTATATTATCAGGGTGTTGGCTGCTGGACAGAATGTGTTTAGGTTTCCAAGTCTCTTCCAATAATATCCTCCTAAACACTGAAATACTGTAGGAGAATTATGTGCCAAATTTTATTTTTATGTAGCATCTGTTAACTGCTCTACTCTATCATACAGAAACTAAAAGCTGTACTATATAATAGGAAATGTTTATCACTAAAAAAAAACCCCTTAATTGTCCTTTTTTCATTTCACGTAAAGCATCTTAGTTTTTCTGGTTTTGGAAGGGGAAAGTTAAAAAAAGAAACTCTCTACTGAAAAAGAAACCAAAATTAAAGTGACTTCTGAGGTACTGAAATTAGCTTTATTCCAAATTTTAGACAATGCTTCTTTAAGACTTGGAACGCTTTTTGGAGTCAATAAGTTGTGAAAACAATGAACTAAAATTGCACACTGAGCTTGGTAGCAGCTGCTGACAGATTTAAAGGCCCATGGAGATTTCAGCTCCAGAAAGGTAAAAAAAGGAAAGACAAGGCTAAGTCATTGCCAAGAGCCCAAGATAAAAGAAGCCAGGGGTTTCCACTGTGTTGATGGTAGTGGAGGTGGCAGCAAAGATATTTCAGGTATATTTCCATAAATGTGTGGGAAGACTGTTAAGCCATGTGGAAATGGTTAGTGTGAGTCTTTTCCAAACAAGAGGGCAGCCAAGCAAGGCAAAGCATTTTATCTTTGCAATACAAAATTAGAAATGCTTGGGTCAGGAGTACATTCTTGGAGAGACAGAAAGAGAAGAGAGAAAGAAGCTGCACATCACAACTTCAAATGAAGAACCTAAGAAGAGGTCCAATGGGAAAAAGAAACACAGGAGCACTTATGCTTATGGTGTTGGGGAGACTAACTTTAGCAGAAGTCCTGCACAAATCCACAAGCACAAGCTGGGCCACCTCAGCAAAATTCTATAGCAAGGCACCATTGCTTGAGGGAGGGAACAAGCCGAGAACTTGTTTACTTGGCAATGATCAGCTAAATGGATAATATTCCCAAGTCATAAAGACGTCTAAGAAAGTGAGACATGGCTACGTCAATAGTTCAGCTAAGGCACATCAGCTGTAAGTTGAGAACTTTCATAATTGCCCAGCCTTTATGTAAGGGGTAGGGTAGAAATTGTAAGTGATTAGCCCACAAAGTATTAGTCCAACCATTCTTATCCTGCAGTTTCCAAGATAATTCTGTTGATGATTCAAACAAGCTCACTCTGCTAAAAAAAAACATTTGGGCTTAATTTAATGATTTACATAGAACTTGTCTAATACCTCATGTCTAAGCAAAGAAATGAAATTGGAGAAAAAAATATGTTGACCTTTTGTCATTTCATCATTTTTGGGAAATGAGAAAATCTTTAAAAAAGAGATGGTAACAAATGGCCTCGGTATTCAAGATTTAAAGTTTAACTGATGCTGCCTTTGTAGTTATTACCAAGGCTGTTGTTGCCTCAACAGATGGCAGTGAGTGCCTGGCTGGTCTTGATGGGTCTCAGAAGCTAAGCAGGATGAGGCTTAGTAAGGACTTGGATGGGAGACTTTCAGGAAATACTAGGACTGCAAGTGGTCCAGGAAATAAAAATGTATGATATAATAAGAGAATAGTAAACTCTTTCTGTATCGCTACTACAAAAACTGCTAGGATGTGTCCATAAAGCCTTCAGGAATTGAACTTGAAGAATATTTATTATTGATTCACTCAGCTATCAAACTACCCATCTCACAAAACATACTGTTACATTTGGTTATGCATGATTTTGTATAATTTTTGTATAAATTTGTTCAACTTTGTGCTGATTTGCAAGTTAGTTTAAGCCAGGGGTGTCAAACTGCCTGCCCGTGGGCCAGAAGCATCATCCGGAAGCCGCACCCACCCCATTGCCGGCAATGGCAAAACCGTCCCGATACATTGCATGACGTCACATGACGTCGCGAGTTTGACATGTCTGGTTTAAGCAGCACATACTGAAACATCCGGAGGCTCCAGCTGGTCCAGAATGCGGCCGCGCGGGCGGTGTTGGGAGCGACACGTCGCTCCCATGTAACGCCGCTGCTGCGCGAGCTGCACTGGTTGCCAGTGGCCTTCCGGGTACGCTTTAAGGTGCTAGTCACCACCTTTAAAGCGCTCCATGGCATCGGTCCTGGCTACCTCCGAGACCGCCTTCTGCCG